TATTTAATTCCGAAAAGGTCCGTGAGCACGGATCACGGCATAATAAGAGAATCACAGAAAAACATTCCTCTCGGCCAAGTGAAATAGGGGTAAGGAAAGAAAGAAAAATATTGGCATGCTACAGAAGCCGAGGCTGCCCATTTGGGGCAGCCAACAGACCAATAAGTGATGCGTGCTTTCGGGACTTTCCGGAATGGACGTTGAGTTAACACCTGCAAGTGCATAGCGTTTGTCTCTAATACATGTAAGCGCAAATAAAAGAAATGACTCAAAAGAATAATCGTCATGAATTAAATTGATTTTATACCGTAGTTAAAATGTAATTAAACACCAGACAACTAGTAAGACCGCCTCCTTTCTTGGAGGTGTAATTTTCGCTTACTCTACCTCTAAACACTTCGAGATTTCACTACCAAATGTGGTTTTCTTCGCAAAGCCGAATTCGTGTGATTGTGAGTTTCCTACCCATCAGGTCCAATGCGGCCAGAGGCTGGTGAGGCAAGCCTGCTCATGACTGTCGCTGCGCGTCTTAAACTGCGGTGGTGGACCTTTCCTGTCATTCGACACTATTTCTACCCCTCCTGTTTTACTCCTATACTTTTGGAGTCCTTTGGAGGTCGATTTTTGCCCACCAGAACCAGAACCGGAGCGCCTGCAAGTGCAAAACGTTCACCTCACTTTGCCACGTAAACGAAGGAAACGTGATAAATTATTAAGTAAAAATTATAAGTCGGGTCCTGCTTTTACTCGATGGGTTCGACAACTTTTAAACAGGAGTGCATATCATTATATAGAATGTAAAAATCAAGGAGGTTGTTGACTTTATATTTGAAAAGAATGGCAACGAAATCATAACTCGTAACTATAATAGGTAATCGTAGGTTATTGGTGACAATTTACCCTGCAGGATTTAGCTGGCGCGGTTTGTGTTAAGAAATCTACCGGAAGCCTTTGATAGAGATAAATAAATTTATTTCAAATTGATTAGGCCTTTTTGAATAAATCCCGTTATTTTTATTAATATACAAACATGTATAAAACATATTTGAAATTACCTGAATAATTTGAACGAGTGTTCCGTTTGAATCGAGAGTTAAGTACACGTTGTCCCAGCTGTAAACAGGCTCACATACTCTTGCCCCCCGGCCGAAGCTTCGTTTTTCTCGAAGCTCGCTATCCGATATATTTAGCCCGCTCTCAATATTCGGTAGCGATTCGGCTTTCATGAAAGCACCCGTCAGGTAGACCTTCACTTCCTCTCTTTGTTGTCTCGTTAGCCTTACCACTGGCTTCTTAACATCCATCCTTCTCAACACCTTATGATTATTCTCCATAACTTTAATCTTCTTTTTATGTTTATCCTGCGAAAGAAACGATAGAAAGCAAAAATTATGGCATCGGAACCTTTACTGTAAATATGTTGGCAAATTATTATATTTTTTAAAAACCCCATAAACCTAGTATTATCATATTGAATAATATGGTAATACAGGTCTCCTTCCAATTAAAGACCTCTTTCACAACCTAGGTTCCCATGGTCTTCAGCGACTTTGGTCTCTAATTATAATAGGCCTAATAAAGATAAGACATTTCTTAATTTGGGACGACAGAAAAGTTGTCTATAGTAATGAAGGGTCTTTAATTACTATAGACCCTTTATTACTATAGACAACTTTTCTGTCTATAGTAATGAAGGGTCTATAGTAATTAATGAAGGGTCTTTAATTAGGAACCTGTACTATAGATTTATGGGGTTTTTAAAACAATTTTGTAATGCATTTTATAGAAAGCATTGGTGTATATTTGGTGTTGTTTTATTGTACGATAGGATTTACAGTAGTATGCGCAGTGTGATGTTATAGTTAATATTAATAAGTAAAATAAATATGCAAACAACAAGCAAAAATCAAATAACGAACATAAAAGAAAATATTGGCATCATTATTATCGCATTCGTAAATTTGCTTCATTCTTCATCACCTTTCTTCAAAATATTGTTAAAAAATGTCAACGAAATATTTAGGTCTACCATTTTGTTATTTAAAATCAATATAATTTTGTTGGCATGACAGCTACAGTATTTCCACTATCATTATAACATCATTGTATGATCTTTTACGATAAACGTGTAACATGGTCTCACACAAAAGATGAGTTAAACTTAAAAAGTACAAGTTTTTATAAATTATCTGAAGAATGGATATAAACTTGGAGGTTTGAGAGTGCGTCGACTTGTCGTGTAAATATAGGCTATGATAAGATATTATCAGTAAATTAATGACAAATGCTTTTACTATTTTGATACAGGTAATTCTATATTGTAAATACTTTAGCCTGGCTGGATTTCCTTTCGACTAATATTGTTTCCCGAGCCCTTGCACAAGTGGTCTGGAAAGTATATATTTTTGCACTCCTATATGAAAATGCTTTGTGGATGTCCAAGTCATAACGTTCATGTACAAGCGAATGGCCTCATTCAGGCTTAAGCTAAAAACATCATTTTATGCAGTTCTTCCTTTTATTGTAGTTATTTGTGTTTTGGTATATGATGGACTGAATAAAACTATTGAACTTAAGTAACTGTGAAATGCACAATTGTTCCAGCATTATGCAGTAGGCATACAAGAAATATTTAGTATACTGTAGGCCTATTCTCATATTGGGTGGGTCTTGGAGGTGAAACCAGTGCGTATTTTGTGAGGCCAAGGGCAGGGATTAAATTGAAATGAAAATCTTAACCTCAAAGCACAATTTCTAATTAATTTAGGCTGTAGTTTTATTTTATAGTTATCTGCCTACATCCTGGATATATCTTTCCATAAGTTTAACTTTTGTGTTTAGTCTATTTTTTACCGAGCCATTTGCTTCTCAGCAGAAAAGAGAAGTAGAAAACTAATAGAAAGCAAAATTAGACAAAGAAAGAAAAGAGAACAATTAAAAAAGAAAAGAAGTAAATATAGGGAGTCAATGTGCGCACCAAGCAACGTTTAAATACTATTATTCTACAGCCAGCTAAACATGTCAATGAAAAAGTTTGATGAAAGCGAGAGATCGACTGTTCGATCAAATGTTAGAGAGTTGCTTGTCTAATATGAAAATGAGGTCATAATAAAATAAAACATTACTGAGAATATTGAGGGCGGACAAAGAAGAGCTTATTCTAAATAAAAATGTTCCCTACCTACAATAGTCGGAAAATGAAAATTATTGGCTGTTTTATACCAAAATATGATTGAAATTATGAACTGAATATAACTTTTTACCAAAGTTCTTCTCTGTTCCGTATCGAGTGGCGTGATCGCTTTGGCTCTGCATTTTGTCTGTCTTGGTGGCATTACGAATTCCTCCTCAATTGTTTCGTTCCCTACGTCTGCATCTTCTGTTATCTCCGCTATTATCTCTTCTGCAGCTTCCATTGATATTTCTTCTGCCTCCGCTGCTGCTGCTTCTGCTGCCGCTTCTGCCTCTGCTGCGGCTGCCGCTGCTGTTTTTGCTCCCCTGTTCGCTTTGATTTTAGCTTTTTGGGCCGGTGTTTTGCGGACACTCCTTTGTAAATACGGATCATCACTGTTTCGAACACATGCGTAGGTTGTGAAGTTAAAACACACCAACAGAATAAGAATACACAGATTAATGTGTTTCATCTTACTTCTTTAGATTATCTCAGTTGCTGTTACCAATTGGTAAACAAAGTTTTCAAAAACTATTATTTTCCGTATCTGAAAAAGTTAAATTAAATATATTCAGAGAAACATAGTAGAGAATTATGTTACGAATCCGCAATTACATGTCACACAGTTTTGAATGGTATCATCACAGTACTGAAGGGGCATATAAATTACATTGCGTGTAATAGACCTAATAAGATAGGTCTACTGGTAGAGGTATCAGTTTATTAATAGTAACTGTGCTTATTAAAGCGTATCGGAGTGTAAACGAGAGTGGCAGTCGCTTTAAGAAAACTTTCCTAGTCATAAAAAAACTAATTAACTAAACCTTACGCACACAATCATATAGTACTAGTTTTGAAAGTACAACAATAACATTTTAATTCAATTAAAAACACATCATAATTTATTTCTACTTTCAATATATGGCCTAGACATACTTTTTACGAGAAACATTATTTCTAAAACTAAGTTCATCAAAACAATTTGCATAAAACAAAACAAAAAATTGAATGTATGACATTATTAACCCAAGCATCGTCAATTCACGTAGCAACGTATTACATCTCCTATTGATGATATGATGAATGGGAGAAAGGCTAATTCCCTCTATATATAAATATATGCTTTTAAAAATCTATAGGCTAGTTAATCCGAATTACTTACATACTGTCCGTTCTGTAGAATTAACTAGGTGAATATGAAGTGCTTGAATTCGATAGTTCTTCGTCCTCGCGCCGCCACTATAATTTCCGCCTACTTTCCTACATCCGTTTGCCTACATCTTCTACTGTATTTTATACACGTTTAATACACTTGTCCTTGAGAGGTGCGCTCGACACACCTTTCATATCTAACTGTAATTTATTTTAAATTGTTCCGTTTCACAATCTTCGTCATTAGGCCAATAATTAATAATCCTTACCTGCATTCCCTAATCTGTAAATTTCGTAAACGATCTCGTTGAGTAACAGCCGCTGAAACAGATAATGTTGTCTATTTTTCTACAGTAAGACAGTTATTAATTAGCACTAATGTTATATCGTTTTAGTGTGTATTTTGTAACATGCTTGTAGGCCCATGTGTTGTCCACACTTGCGCCTGCAGAGACATAGATCAGTTTGTTTTGTTTTTTGAGATACTACGCATTTTTACTATTCAATCATTTACCGGCCTTTTTACTTTCTGATTATTATGCAATCAAGTTTCTGAAACAAAAATAAATACCACTTGATCCAATAACCACGTCATAATAACTCGCCAGTTCTTTGCTTATTATAAAACATCTCAAACTATAAGACGGGATCTCCAAAGAGATGACCTCTAAACTGTCCTGTGGTAATGTTACATGTCGTTTAATATGCATAAGAGAGCGTTGATCTCTGAAAGTGAACATACAGTTAAGTTATGGACACCTTTTTCATAGCCATAAAAAATCTTCCCAAATTATGCTGTAAACTAATAGAATAAATAGCAAACCTATTACTAAATCTCTCTTTTACCTGATACTGGACAGATAAACAAAAAAAAATGTCGATTTGATTTCCATATTACTATAGAGTCTACATGAATCATCAAAACATTAGGGCCTACCCTATTCGTTATTTGATAAATGAATTTCAAACTTTATTCAGTATAGGGACGCTCTCTAATTATAAAACTGTAACATAGACAACAAAGATACAAGGATAAGACCACAGTTCTTTAGCTTTATCTTCAGATTGTCTTTTGGTTCTTGTTGTCCTCCACGCCTTCTCTTTCCCTGAATACATTTAGCTGCTTCGGCATGTGTAGTTTGTCTTCCATTCGAATAATGTCCAATCTACACCGAGGTCATGTAGGCCTATACCTTCGATAACTTTACAGTCTACTACTGGTTTTGGACTTCGTTGAATATTGTGGCATCCATCGCGGGATTATGCTTAGTCTTACATACTTTTTCTTATCTTTCCTGGTAGTAAAGATTAAGGCTTTTTGAAGAAACATTTCTCCTTGTCTTCTGTAGCCACTGCTGCTTCTCCCCAAGTTCTCTATCCAGACACGTTTCTCTCAGTGGCGTAAATGTTGTGAGGAGCCTTGGTTCAAGAATACAGTCGGGGAACATGTCACCTAAGATATGTACCACCGATGGGTCGGTTTATGAGCAGGGGCCCCTCAGATTTATAAAATTATTTTTGACAATAAATCTTCCGATTTTTTTTATGAAGTTCACTAAAGTATACATCACAGGTGTATACTTTAGTAAAGTTTACTGAAGTATACAGTGCATCTGTGCTGTGTACTTTAGTGATGAATTTCACTAAAGTATACACCTTTATTTTTACCGTTTTCTTAATTGCCCTAAGCATGTGTCCACCACAGGAAGAAATATACGAACCCTAAACCGGTGACGGGGACTTTCCAGACGAGCATCATTTGATGATTCATCAAAGAATCTTTTCCTTGCACGATTTCTTGCATCATTAAATGAAACTGCAACGTTCCATGTTTAGCGATATCTTCTGTAGCCTTACATATGTTATTAAAATCAATTCTGAGCGTTGAAACATAATTTACGGTTTCACCAAAAGTGCAACTGATGCACATAAATGTGGATTTCAACTGCAACTGCTTAGAGAGAACATGAACTGCACAAGAATCCTTTCCCACATCAGAGGAGGTACTTAAATTCATTTTTTTTCTATGCACTCCATTAAATTATCAGCGAACATCTGTATGTTTGGATGACAATTTGAGATGTGTTAGTTTTCATGATGGGATACTGCATTATCAGTGCTGTCACAGATGTGAGACGGCTCTCCCATCTTGACATGGTTAAAGTGATTATTTTTAACAATTTTAAATTATAATGTGCAGTATTATGTAAAGATAAAATATTATCAATCTAGATTTTTATTTACCACTGCTTTATTAGCTTTGACATGTCGACAAGGCCGCGAAGCCCCGCCCACAAAGTCACGAAAACCTTAGGACTTGTTTCTGCTGAGCAAAAAAAAACACGTGTATTTAAACGGTTATTAAAAAAACACATGTTTTTCCCCAGTAGAAACGGGCCACCAAACAAAAACACGGTTAGGAATGCATTCTAAAAATGCGTGTTTTTACACGCATTCGTTATATGGTTCGCGTTCAGAAAACGCGTGTTTTGTGGTACACTTTTCAGCTGCAACGCAATACCGTGTTAGTCATGACCCGTCGGTGACCCAAATTGACCTCTTCGTTGGTTTGATCGCCCGTCCGCGGGAAATTCGGGGCGAAGAAAAAAATTAAACCAATATGATGACGTGCTTGAAGATCATATCATAATTTTTTCATACTTTCGTGGTGTGTTGTTTACTTCTTTCGCAGCAGTAAGGTCAGCTTCAACTTCCGTTGGTGACCGTCATTTAAGCTCCGCCCACTTGCCAATGCTTGCATTACAGTGTTTTTATTAGTTGCACTTTTCACTAGAAACGCGTTCAGGAGGAATTTAACCGTTTATAAAAAAAAACCGTGTTTTTGGCGTTATTCAGCAGAAACACGCCCTCAGACAATGGCGGCTAGACTTACCGAGTTGGCGAAGATTTTCTTTGCTATCAACCTTCTTTAAGAAAGAGAAATCAGGGTAGGCGGTATGCAAATGAATCATATATTCATAGTGTTAATCTATTTCATGGAATATGGAGGGGAAATTGTTGTAAAAACCTCTGTATTTCGCTCCCAAAGGAAGAGGGAAAAGCCGCATTCAGTCAACCTTGTCGGCAAAGGCCAAGTCACTAATGCACACTGCTCGTGTAAATCTGGATATCTATCACCAAGCATAGACATCTAGGCCTAGGCTCACGTATGTATTGTTTCGCGTTTAAACCAGCTGTCTGAGGAAATTAAAATGTCCGAGAAAAAGTTTTTGATCACGTGACTAAATGACGCTTCTCTTATTAGTCGGTTTAACTGTCAATCAAATCTCGTCGAGATGTTAACCAATACCTGCTGAACCTTTGGTAGTTACGGTTACACCACCGCTCTGTCTCTCGACAGTGCGTCTTCAGGTGGTCTTGGGTAGTCCTCTCTTTCGTTTGCCTGCTGAAGTCCAATTCATTGGTATTCTTGCATTATCATCTTTCTCTTTTCTAAAGATAGCCTATATGTCCAATCCATCTCCATTACTAATCTCGATGGTACCTGTTATTTTGTGTAATGATACTTCCAGGGTTTAAACAAATCATATTTCAGCATAGAAGAATAAGTAGGCCTATGTTATATTTAACTTGATTTGTGTGTTAACTGACTGTCTACTCAACTTGGTGGTGGATAATAGTCACGCATAATACTAGGTAACTGAGGTGTCTGATCTGTCTGTGTTTTTTTACGTGTTAGTGAAAATGGTTGCTTATTATACACGTAAGAGAATATTAGGTATTGGCACAAAGTTTCCATTAGGCCTAGTATGATAGTAAATTATGTCATAATTCTAACCATATTATAACAGGCCTAAGGCGGACACCTCATAACCACCATCATGCTGCAGCTCCACTGCATCAACTTTATACACAAGTTGTGCATTTGGTAACATATCCTTTCCCTTGTGCTTTTTTATTTCTCGTATTACATGACAGCAGGGCGATTTTCTGCTGTAACCTATAGCCTATAATATTAATCACCCTGCCTCCTTTCTGGATTTATCATTATCCAAGAATCGAATACAAATTATAATTTCGCTCAGCAAAAGGCCTACAATTCTTAGAGAGATGTGATACGTTTGACGGAACATCTCATCGGTCATTACAAAAGGGAGTTGATGATCAAACTTGGGATGAAATTGAACAGCCAGACGAAAACCAATATCATCGTGAATACGAATGAGGTTTAACCTGGCTTTTGCAAATCTCGTAAAGTTACTCTGTTCCTTTATTTCTAGAATGTCCTGTCACGTAAAGAATTTATGTCCTGTACACTGTCCTGTTGTGAATGTATTTTTACAAATAATATTTATATTAAGTTTTCTTTAATGATGTTTTCTTTTAATAATACTTTTAAAATATAAAAAGATAGTAAAAAAGATAGTAGAGTAATGATGATAATTTTAATTATTTTTTTGTTTCATATACCACACATAGGTCTATCTATTTCTTAAATATGCTCTAGATGCTTGATTTCTTCTAGTCATTGTCTAAACAAATCAATCTGCACAATATAATATGCAACCTACTCCACTCCCCATAAACATCCTCTTTGTCCAGGTATCTCAGTACAAGACAAATCTTAATCAATATTATTCTCTTCAGACCAAAATTACAAATTTGGAGGAGAGAAACAATCCTACTGGACAAACTCGCGTAAAACATAGGCCTAGATCCTGTCTCTTATACACATCTAGATGTGTATAAGAGACAGCCACTGCTCTGTCGTTTGTGCATGCTTCCAAGTGTATGTGTGTGTATGTGTGCATGTATATTTGTATGTACGTGTATATGTGAGTTTATATGTGTGGGTGTGTGTATGTGTATGTATGTATATTGTATGTGTGTATGTATGTATATATGTATATGTATATATGTGTATATACGTGTATGTATGTATGTATATATATATATATATATATATGTAGGTGTATGTATGTCTATTTGTGTATGTATGTATGTGTGTATGTATGTATGTATATATCAATCTGCACAATATAATATGCAACCTACTCCACTCCCCATAAACACCCTCTTTGTCCAGGTATCTCAGTACAAGACAAATCTTAATCAATATTATTCTCTTTAGACCAAAATTACACATTTGGAGGAGA